TTTATTTGTACCTTTTAAAATTTCTTTCAGGAACGTGCTGTAGTTTTTAGCATACAAGTCTTTCACCTGCTTGGTTAAATTTACACCTAAATATAAATGCTGATGTAAATGGAATTATTTTCTTGATTTTCTTTTTATAGTGTTCATTGCTATTCTACAGAAACACAATTATGTATTTTGCACCCATTTTTTATTCTACAAATTTCCTGAATTGATTTAATAGTTCTAGCAGGTGTTTTTTTTTAAAGATTTATCTTTATTTACTTATACATACAAGAACTGGGGTGTAGGCCAGAGATGCAGGAGGTGGGAGGATTCACCAGAGACAGAGTGGGGAGCAGAACAGGTGGATCTACTGAAATACACTGCTGAGGGGAGCAGTGGGCGAGTCAGGACAGGTCTGCTATGCCATGTGGGTCACCTCCCTGGCTGGGGATCAAACTCATAATGCAGTGGTTGGTGATAGCTTCATAGTGCTGAGACTTTAACCCCTGGACCACCAGGGAGATCCTCTAGCAGGTTTTTTGTGTAAAAATCTTGAGTTTTCTACAGATGAGAGCATATCATTTACAAACATAGATAATTTTACTCCTTCCTTTCCAGTTCGGTTGCCTTTTACTTCTTTTTCTTGCCTGATTGCTCTGGCTAGGACTTGCAGTATTGTGTTGAAAACGGACATCCTTGTTCCTGATCTTAGAGAAAAAGCTTTCACACATTCACCATTGAGTATGACGTTAGCTCTGGGTTCTTCATAATGCAGCCCTTGTTATGTTAAACTGTCTTCTTTTCCTGCATCTTCAGTACTCACACCCCAGCCTCCTTGTTCACTTTTCCCCATTAGTAAAGGGGAAGCCCATGACACATTCCTTGACTGCGTGTGCCTACAGCTGCCACTCTCTCCTGCCTTCTGGCTTAGCTCCCTCGTCTTCCTTCACTCCTGGCCAGCACACACTCCTCCACTTCTCGGAAATAGTCTTGCAAGGTCTCTTTTGAGCTCCCCCTCCCTGCTTTGCCAACACATCTCCACCCCCATTACAGCAGCATCAGTGTCATTGCCATCCCCACCACCACTTGGTCTTCTCTGGCCTTCTGTGCCAACAGGCGCCCAGGCCTTCTCACTGCCCTAGGGCCTATTCCGTGCTCCCACACTGTGCTCCCACGCCAGGCCCACCCCTCCGACAGCTCGCTCGCATCTTCTGAGGTTGGCCCGTTTCAGACACAGCAGAGAGCTGGTAAAATTCCAAAGGCTTCAGCGCCACCCTCGGAGATGTGGGTGCTGTGGATCTGGGCTGGATCCTCATTCCGGTTGGTGATGCCTCACAGGCCCGTTTGTGTGGTCCTGACAGAACCAGTCTATCGGGAACAGGGCCCTTGGCCACTTTTTTTTCAGGGGGGCGCTTTTCATGGCCTCCGTTCTGCCAGCAGTTGCATTGTGCCCTGCCTTCCCACCACCTTTTCCTTTGAGCTCCAAACCCAAAATTTCTAAGTTCCTAGGCTCTCCTCATCACCACCTCTGTGGGGGCATCCCTCGGCCCCTCATGCTTCATGTGTCCTAAGCCACATTTGCCCCTTCCTACATTAGGCCTGCTTCTCCAGGACTTCTGACTGCTGCAAAGACTGTCACCCCCCCAAAATGAGGGTAGCCATTTCCTTGCCCCACAGCCCATTAGTACATCTCTGCTCCCAGCCATCTAGTCTCATTGTTTGCCATCTTGGGCCTGGGCAAGGCTGTAGCTTCCTCACTTCCCTGTCAGCACTTATCCCCTGCTGCGTTAGGCAGTGTTCCAACACAGACTCTGGTCACCTGGCTTAAAACCTTCTGTACCTTTAAAAATTGCAAACCGGGGTTCTGGTCTGGGTTGTAGTGCTGCCCTGGCCAGGCTGGGTATGCCCTTCTTGCCTGCAGAGTACTTACCGCCTCTCCTGACCCACTGTCTGGACTCCTGTTCTTGTGCCATATTTCTGGAGAGGCCTCTGCTGATCCCCAGACCAAGCCATGCCCCGTGACCCTTTCTGTGAACAGCCCAGCAGCACCCTGTGTGCCTCCTGCAGGAGAAGATGCTGGACATCTACTGGCTGCTGCGTGTCTGCCTGCGAACCATTGAGCACGGAGACCGTACAGGGTCCCTCTTTGCCTTCATGCCCGAGTTCTACCTGAGTGTGGCCATCAACAGCTACAGTGCTCTCAAGAATTACTTTGGCCCTGTGCACAGCATGGAGGAGCTCCCAGGTGAGAGGGTCTTTCAGGATGGGAGGGGGCAGAAAAGGGTCTTCTGTGTGTGCCCTCGCAGCACACATGCGCCGAGGAGCGGGGAGCAGCTCCTACTCTGCTCCGCAGAGCACCAGATGAGCATTGTGAGAACCCCGCGTGATGGAAGGCCCTGCCTGCTACTGGCAGCCACAGAAACAACAGCTCCTCCCTGGTGCCCGGAGGGAAATAGACAAAATGGAGTACGAAATGTCTACTTCCTTCTTGGTGCCACTGTGGTCCAGGAGCCCCTAGCCTCTGACCCTCGCTCCATGGTACTGCCATGGGGTGTGGCACCCTCACAGTGGCTTGTCTGCGTAGATTACAGCAAGGGCGGGGGCCTGCTGGGGGCCACGTAGCCCGGGCCTCTTGCAGACCCCTGATTCTAGGTTGGGCTTGGCAGTTTATGTCTGGATCAGGCTTTAGGTCCCTCGCCCACCCTGCCCTGCCCCAGGCTAGTTGCAGGCTATTGTCCTCAGAGGCGGAGTGGTGGGTGCCGTTGCGTATGTACGTCAAGATGGTTTTGAGCCTAGTCGGGACTCTTGCCAAGACTTGCCTTCACCCCAGAGAGTCTGTACCTTAGCCTCACATCAACTCTCAGGGAATGCCCCATCCAGTCTCCAGATGCTGACTTGGGCCCAAACTGGCCCTGGAAGCCAGCACTGGGGCCCACTGCCTAAGCCCATCTACCCAGAGGGACGTGCCTGCTTTTGGAGTCTGGCCCAGCCAACAGCTCCGGTTACCTCACTCTGCAGGCTATGAGGAGACCCTGACCCGCCTGGCCGCCATCCTTGCCAAACACTTTGCTGACACGCGCATCGTGGGCACTGGTGAGGTGCCCTTCAGAGTCTTGGGGGATGGAGAAGGGTGGCATCTCTGTGCAGAATGCTGACCAAGTAGGCCTGAGGCTTGGGGGCCAGGGCACATGCCAGGCACCTGCTGAGACAGTCTGGCCTGTCCCGGCAGACATCCGTGACTCACTGATGCAGGCCCTGGCCAGCTACGTGTGCTACCCACACTCCCTGCGGGCTGTGGAGCGGATCCCTGAGGAGCAGTGAGTGGGGGTTCTGGTCGGGTATGCACCCTGCCCTGCCTGAGTGCCAGCCCAGCCTTGCCCCATGCCTACTGCTCCTTGCCCTCGCAGGCGCATTGCCATGGTGAGGAGCCTCCTGGCTCCCTATGAGCAGCGGCCCTGGGCCCAGACCAACTGGATCCTGGTGCGGCTCTGGAGGGTAAGCCTGGCTGGAGAGGAGGCGACTGCAGGGAGGGAAGGACTACCTGCCCCACTGACCTCCCGCTGCCCCCGCCCCCAGGGCTGTGGGTTCGGGTACCGCTATACACGGCTGCCACACTTGCTGAAAACCAAGCCTGAGGACGCCAACTTGCCCAGCCTCCAGAGTAAGTATGCAGGTGGCACAGGCTGTGGCCCTTGCCCGCTGCTCTGGGATTCTCTCAGACTTTTGCCCTTCTACCCTCTCCTGGGCTCAGGGTGGGCCCCGGACTCCCTGGCTCTTGGGGTTGCCATTTCTCTGCTTCCTCCCGTCCCTAGGACACTCTGGGACTCCTTGCTCCTCAGTCCTGTGTGTGCACGTGGAGCCTGGACACACTGGGGGGGTCACAGTGAAAAGAGGCAACATCTTTTCAGGCTGCTGGCAGCTTATGCAGGTTGAGGACCTTTGTCCTCTGAGCCAACTCCCTGGCCTCCAACACATGTCCATCTGCTGGTGCCACACCTTGGACACCTGAGTCAGAAGGGTACACACAGCCCCACAGGCATTGCTAGGACTTCCTGGAGGAAAGGACATTTGCTTGGGAGCAGAGGCAGCGCTTTCTCCTGGGCCATGGTCTAGCCAAGTCCTGTGAGCCTAAAGACCTTCACCTAAACCCACCCCAACATCTTGGGCTGTCCCGCTTGCGGAGACTAGCTGACACATGCTGCACTCACCCCACTGTGGCTCTCCTCGCCCCAGTGTATGTTTCTGCCCATTAGGGCAGTGTTAGGGCTTGGGGGTATCCCCCGAGGCCTAGTGCCTTATGCAAAGTTACAGAGCAAGTCCTTGCCAGTTGCCTTGGTCCTGTCTCCAGGGTGAAACTGAGCTGCAAGTGGAGAGTAGCGGTGAGGCCAGATACGGTCCTGCTGCTGCAGAACTATTGATTTGCAGGGGGGGCGGGGGAGGTATGCCCAGCCCTGCTGAGGGCTCTGGTTACCGCTGCCTGTCGGCCCAGACTTGGCGCCCACCACCTCGGCCATATGCCAAGGCCAGCCCAAGGGCGCTAGAGGACAGCAGGGCTCAGACTAGGTTCTGGGGGAAACTGGCCTCGATACAAGTGAAGTGGGGTCTAGGTCTAGTCTTTCCTGAAGGGCATGTGGTAATAACTTGCTCTGGGGGCCAGGCTGGTGCAGGGGTAAGGTGGGGGCTGCTCTAGGCCCAGGAGCGGGTGTAGTGTGGGGGCTAGAAACAACTGCAAGCTGTGGCTCACCAAGCAGAGGGAGGGCACAGAGGGACAGATTTAGCCGGAACCCCCAGGCAGTACTGCACGCTGTCCCCTTGCCTTCACGAGCTGTGCATTCCCAGGGAGCCATCTTTGTATCCTTACAGCAGTGGGTGAGGGCGGAGGCAGACAGGCAGGGGGTCTGCACTGGAGTCCCCCACAGTACCACCTCTCTCGCCCCTCAGAGCCTTGCCCATCCACCCTGCTGCAGCAGCACATGGCGGACCTGCTGCGGCAGGGGCCTGACGTGGCCCCCAGCTTCCTCAACAGCGTCCTCAACCAACTCAACTGGGCCTTCTCTGAGTTCATCGGCATGATCCAGGAGGTGGGTCATGGGGGAGCCCTGTAAGCCAGGGGGTTGCAGATGACGAGGCGTGATCCTTGGTGTGACTAGGCCACTGACCACTGCTCACCCTCCTGTTGGTGGCTCAGATCCAGCAGGCAGCTGAACGCCTGGAGCGGAACTTTGTGGACAGTCGGCAGCTCAAGGTATGTGCCACTTGCTTTGACCTGTCGGTCAGCCTGCTGCGTGTCTTGGAGATGACCATCACACTGGTGCCTGAGATATTCCTCGACTGGACCCAGCCTACTTCTGAGATGCTACTGCGACGTCTTGCACAGGTGTGTCCATTGGGGCAAGGAAGGTGGCACCCTGGGGACACCCCAGTGGTGAGTCCACCCATCTACCAAGACTCCTGCCCTCACAGCTGCTGAACCAGGTGCTGAACCGAGTGACGGCTGAGAGGAACCTGTTTGACCGCGTGGTCACCCTGCGGCTGCCTGGTGAGGACCTAGATGCCCTGCACCCGACACACCCCAGGCCTTGATTCCTTTCCCGTGGCAATGTCCGAGCTTCCATTCTGCAGGCTTGGCACCCCAGCCTTCTATGGGGAGTGCAGTGGGGTGACGGTGTTAGCCCGTCAGGCCTGGAGCCCCTGCAGTGGGAGTGTGGGGGTAGCTCATCGCCGTCCTTTCCTTCCCCTTAGGCCTGGAGAGTGTGGACCACTACCCTATTCTCGTGGCAGTGACGGGCATCCTGGTGCGACTCCTTGTGCACGGCCCAGCCTCAGGGTGAGCATGAGGGGTTGTGGGCACGAGTGATGGAAGGGACCTCAGCAGGGGCTCCCTGCAGCTCGGTGTTTGAGTGGACCTCGGCATCGGGGTTCTGACGCAGGGAGGCAGTCAAGTGGGAACTGCTGAAATAGGTGGCAGCGGCGGCAGCAACTCTGGAGTAGGCGAATCAGGACCTCAGCATAGTAGGGTGCCTGCCTGCCTGGCTTGGGATCAGGTCCACTGGCTGTGGCTGTACCCGGGTAGGGGATTGCCATCCTGCAACGTCCAGGGCAGCACTGCTGCCATCAAAAGCCGCACACACACACTGCTGCCGCCTGCGTTGGCGAAGGCTCTGCCGTGCACCTGTGTGACTTTTATTAAGAAACTCCGTGACAGCTGGGTCCAGGACACTAGAGGGGGCCTCCGTCTCAGCCCCACACAGGAGAGGCTCTCAGATCCTCCCTCCTCCCTGCCTCCTGACAGTGGAAGTGATGAGATATGTCTGAAGCCGGGGCATTGCCTCAGCCATTAGACCGACACCAGTGCTAGTCCTTAAGAGGCTCCATCCCGGAGGGACAGGGAGTGCCGGCTCAGCCCCTCCATCTTGGCCAGGCTCAGCAGCCTTTTTACTGCTGTAAAGTTGGGCGTGCAGGTCATGGTGTCCCTTACTGTTTGTCTCATGAGCCCATGTACCCTCAGAATAACCTGTAGATGTCCCTGGCCAAGAGAATATGACCAGACCGACTGGAGTCAGGCTAGGCCTTCCCCCCTGCCCCACCCCTGCTAGAGGTCTCCTGAGGAGCCATGCCTGCCTTCCCCCTGCCTCATACCTGCCCATCAGACGCTGCGTGGAGTTCTGAAGCTTGACTTAGGTTGGATGTTGGTGGATGGGTCTTCAACAGAGGGAAGGCTTGTTTCCTCTTTCCACAATGGGGGTGGGGACTAGGTCTTCTTCTGGAGCCCTTTTCTTACCCACTCCCAGTCCCCTAGGGAAGGGGCAGGAGGTTATGTTTAGTTCTTCACCAGCGCTCCATGCCGGCTGCCTCAACTGGAGGGTGGAGCCGGGGCTCTAATGCAAGGGTCCTTCCAGAAGGGCCTGGGTTTCTGTCCTCTTGGGACATAGGTCGAGGATGGGTCAAGGAAGAGGGATTTGGCCAGGATTCTTAAAGGCAAATACCCAGGTTGGGGTACTCAAGAGGCTCTGGGTTCTAGGACCACACTTGGGTACCAGGAAGTTGTACAGAAAATGGGCATGAACAGGTACTGCTAGGGCCTAGTGCCGTTGGGTCCTGTGCTGACTTGGGGGAGAGGTTAGACATCCCAACCCCTCTGTAGTTTAGATCAAGGCCCACACAGGAGGCTGACGGACCAAGCCCAGTGCTTCCCACCAGCATCTGGCAGCTCTCTCTGGGTGGCAGCAAGGAGCAGGGCAAGCAGCAGGCAGGCAAGTCGGGGCCCTGGGCAGCCTAGGTCATCACCAGACCCTCAGAAGCTGTGGAACTAGCAGACTCAGAGCCAGCCTTGAACCGTAGGCCCATGGGATTGTAGAGATCAAAGTCCTCAGCTACTGCCAACTGCACGCGACCATTGAGGCCCCTCCGGCCTGGCTCCAGAAAGACCACATGCTTGTGAACACTGGCCTTGCGGCTGAGCGTGTCAGGTGGTGTGCTGAGCACTGAGGACTGTGCGCTCAGCTCCTGGAGTGGGCTGGGCGCTCGGGGCCAGCAGCAGCAGAGGCTGGTACGGTGGTAGCAGCGGCGGCAGCCCGGGCAGGGTGGTGCAAACAGGTAGAACAGCACCAGCACCAGGCCCACGGCACATCCCAGCAGTGTAGTGAAGCCTGTGTTGAAAGCCTCGGGCTCAGGGTGCGAGAAGTGCACACTCACGTTGTACTCGTGTGTCTGATTGTGGTGCAGGCGGGGCCCGGTGGCTAGACACACAAAGACCCCCTCGTGCCATGGCTGCACATTGCTGATGGCCAAGCTGCCGTCAGCTAGCACGGCAATGCTACCGTTGCGGGATCCTGGTGCCACCAGCAGCTCTTGCTGTGGAGATACCCAGGCAACGCGCACAGCAGGGGCACTGGCATTGCAGTGCAGCCTCAGAGACTGACCCACCTGCACATGCAGCTGCTCCTCAGGCTGCTCTAGGACATGAGCCGAGGCAGCTGAGCAGTTCTCGAAGATTCGGCTGTGCTCAAAGAAGCGCACGCGGGATGCTTGTACCTTGAAGGCCAGGCACATGTATTCTCGGGCAAAGCTGCTCACAGCGTTTAGTCCACGCTGCTGCCAGCGCTGCAGCAGGTGGTAGAGGTGGCAGTCGCAGGGCAGTGGGTTGTTGTGCAAGTAAAGCCCGTTCTTGACAAAGGCAGGCAACGCGGCCAGCTCAGGTACAGGGAGGTGTCTCAGATGGTTGGAGGAGAGATCCAGGGTACGTAGGTGGGTTGTGCCCAGGCCGTGCAGGTGGTTGAAAGAGAAGGACACTAGTTTGTTGCAGCCCAGGTAGAGCCGGCTGAGCACACCCAGGCCGTGGAAGGCATGCTCGTCCAGTTGCGCCAGGCGGTTATTGAACAGCAGTAGCACCTCCAGTGCCCCCAACCCTTCCAGGTCGTGGCGACCGAGCACCCGCAGTGCGTTGGATGATAGATCTAGCAGCCTGAGGTTGCTGGCATTGGCGAAGGCTCCGCGACCCAGCATATCCAGCTCATTGTGGCCTAGGTTCAGGGCGCGCAAACGGTAGAGGGGGGCCAACCAACTGGGGCGCAGGCGCTGGAGTGCGTTGTGGCTCAGGTCGAGGTCTGTAGTAGTGGGTGGTAATGCAGCCGGCACATCCTGCAACCCAAGGCCTGCGCAGCTCAGGAGGTCAGCAGAGCAGATGCATTTATAGGGGCAGTTGTGGGGTGCGGGGGGCAGGAAGTCCTCGGAGTCTAGGGTGCCTAGTCCAGGGCGCGGCATGCAGAGCAGGGCGCTGAGCAGCACCAGCCAGGCCATGGCTGCCACCAGTAGGGGCAGGTCAGGGGCGCTCTGTGCGCAGGGTGTGGCCCCGGGACTCACCTACTTATGCTCTGGCTCCACAATCGTGGCACACTGGGTGACCAGGAGGAGGAATGTGGGCTCCAACCCCAGCCGGCACTGCTGACCGCTCCCCAGTTCTAGGTTGTGAAGTGGGGCGGTGCCCCACCGGCACAGGCATCTCCAGCTTCCCCGGCTCTGAGCGTTCCCCGGTCGCTCGGCAGCTAAATACTCCCCGGGGGCGGGGCCTGGGGGCGGGGCCCGGGGCTCCCATTGGAGGGGCGGGGCCGCTGCCTCCCAGCCCGCTGAGCCTTCTAAGAGCCCGGGGAGGGAGCGTTGAGTAGGACCTGTGCCCCCACTTGTGGTTGACTGGGGGCTTTCTGGGGAACACATCTCCCCGAGTGGAAGGGGAAGGCCGGGAGGCGTGCCGTTAAACTAATTTTTTTATTTGTGTTTTCTTTGAAGGGTAAATATATGTATTATGGAGCAGGTGGACTCATTGTCTTTTGGCGGCTCCCCTGGGCCTCCATAAACCAGCACCCAGGCTGTGTGGGTCCTTACTGGGATCAAGGGCCCGGTGGGAGTGGGGCCGGGGCCGGGAACAGGGAGCTGGGGGAGGAGGAACTGGGTAGTGTGCACTGGGCTGAATTGTCACACCACCCCCCACCCCTTCAGTAGAGTCCCTTCACAGGCCCCTTGAGCCTTCTTGCACCCTCTCCCACCTAGGACAGAGCGAGCCACATCAGTGCTCCTGGCCGATCCCTGCTTCCAGCTCCGCTCTATATGCTATCTCCTGGGGCAGCCAGAGCCCCCTGCCCCTGGCACAGCCTTGCCTGCCCCTGACCGGAAGCGCTTCTCCCTGCAGAGCTGTGAGTGGGCTGAGGGTGGGCCAGGGAAGAGGGATTTGTGCAGGATTCTCAAGAGCAAATTCCCAGGTGGGGGTTCCCAAGAGGCTATGAGTTCTGGGGCCACATTTGGCCTGATCCCTTCTACCTCCCCCCCCCCCCCCCAGACACAGATTACATTAGTGTTGAGGAGCTGGCCCAGGTGGAACAAATGCTGGTACACCTGACCTCCGCATCTGCCCAGGCAGCGGCTGCCTCCCTGGTAAGTGGCACTACAGCAAGCGGGTCTACACCACCAAATCCACGGGGCGTAACTGTGTACTATGTAGTGCACGTCCCACTTGTCTGGCCCTCCAACTCCTACTGTGCTTCCTGCAGCCCACCAGTGAGGAGGACCTCTGCCCCATCTGCTATGCTCACCCTATTTCTGCTGTGTTCCAGCCCTGTGGCCATAAGTCCTGCAAGTAAGTGGACCTCATGGGTGTGGGGGACTGGCTAGCAGGAACAGCAAGGGTACACACTCTGCTCCCCCTCCCCCCTTTTGTAGAGCCTGCATCAACCAGCATCTGATGAACAACAAGGATTGCTTCTTCTGCAAAGCTACCATAGTGTCTGTAGAGGACTGGGAGAAGGCAACCAACGCAAATGCCACTTCCTCGGCCACCTAGGTCTGCCTGGCTGACAACAGGAACCTCCACCCTTGAACCCAGACCCAGGCTGGGCCCTATTTATGAGCACCCCCCTTTTCCCCTGTCCTCCAGCTCCCCACCCTGCCATGTGCAACCTTCTTGCCTGTGTATCCTCATTGGCAGGAGCCCAGCCGTGCCCTAATCGTGCCTGAGCTTGACTTTTAGTCAGGGCCACAGTGAGCATTAAATTATTATTCCATACAGCCCTGGCCCAGCCCTTTTTGAAGGAGTAGGTTTTGTCGGGTATGTCTAGCAAGGGCATTGCCCGATTTTGTCCACAGGAGAAGGCAGGTGTCCAACAGCTTCAGCCTCCTCAGATGAATGGCAATGAGTCCAGAGTGTTCTGATGTGTCACGCCAGTGCTCCCCTTGCCAGTGGGGGAAAGGGGCTCAGCCAGCCCCAAGGCATCCCTTCACATGATGATGCGAGGTTCTGGCACCGAGTCGCCAATAGACTTGTGGGGCAGCACACTGGCCCCGTTGAGGTAGAGCTCGTCGTTAACTATGACGTCCTCACCCAGCACGGTCACGTTCTCCATGCGCACCTCGGGGGGAGGGGCAGGCCTTGTCAGTGAGGCAGGTGCATTCCCTGCCCCTCTCCCCATCTGGCCCAGCCCATAGGCTTACCCACTGGCCCACACGGCAGCGCCAGCCCACAATGCAGGACTCGAGCCAGGAGTGGGAACGGATGTGGGCATCTCGAAGCACCGTGCACCGCCGGATACACACGCCATCCTCCACCACCACACCAGGACCCAGGCTCACGTTGGGGCCAATGCTGCAGTTCTGGCCAATGCGGGCACTTGGGTCCTGAGAATAGTGGGGAAAATACAAGTGGACCATCTGTTCCCTAAGACTGAGGGGGCTAATTATGGGCTAGTCAAGAACCTTACCACCAGCACGTTGCCCACAATGCCAGGACCAGAGCATAGTTGCTCAGGCTGCTTTTGTCGCAATGACTGCAGGAAGAGGCACATGCCAGTGAGGAAGTCCTTGGGCTGCCCAATGTCCATCCAGAAGCCTGTAGGGAGGGAATGCATCAGGGGGTTCAGCCCAGCCACAGACCACCCCCACCCTGTGGCCTTCCTGCCTCACCCTGCAGCTCCATGGCATATAGCTGCCCCTCCTTGGCCATGACAGGGAAGATCTCCTTCTCAATGGACGTAGGCTGCAGCTGTGGGAGTGGGCAGCTGGTGAGCAAGGTCATGGCGGTGGCGGTCTGCCTTACCCAGCCCGCCCAGCAGGATTCTACACACCTGGATGCGCCGCAGCACCGCAGGGCTCAGGATATACATGCCTGCGTTGATCTTGTTGGACACAAACACCTGTGGCTTCTCCACGAACCGGTGAATGCGGCCTGTGTCAGCCTCACACACCACCACACCATACTTGGAGGGTTCCTCCACTTTGGTCACCTGAGTGCAGGGAAACCTCAAGCCTAGTCCAGTGCTGCTAAGTCTTGATATATATGCTGTGCTAAGTCTCAGGGACTGTGCCCCAAATGCTTAAAGACACATGTTGCACAGCTCTGCACCCACCATATGAGGGTGTGGTTTAAGACCAGGGCATGGGGGTACCGGAGTGTGTCAGAGAAGGAAGAACTGGTCCCTTACCAGGATGGAGCCTTCCTGACCATGGTGCCGGTGGAACTGCACCATGGCTTGGAAGGGGAAATCACAGATCACATCACTGTTGAGGACGAAGAAAGGGTCTGCAGTCTCAGAGAGCAGGTCACGAGCCAGTGCCAGGGGCCCAGCTAGGGGAGGGGAAAAGGTCACCATCTTTCTGGGGTCTGAATCCCTGGATGGAGACTCAACAGGCCCCAACCAAGCTGGATCTTGCCCTTTCCCTGGCCCTAAGCCCTTTCCAAGAGACCCTCCTGTCTCTACTGGTACCTGTGCCCAAAGGCTCCTCTTCATGGGACATGGAGATGCGGATTCCCAGCTGAAAGGGAGAAGGCACCCGTCAGGCTCCTCACTTGGGTGGGAAGCTGGGCGGGACCAAGGACAAGGATCGAGTACGAGCCTCACCCTCTGCTCCTGCGCCTTCATTTCCTTCTCCAGCACCTGAGACATGTAGCTCACCGCCAGGATCACGTGGTCTACACCCGCCTGTCGGACAGAAGTGCACGGGACGACAGGCAGGCTCAACTGGAAGGCACGGGCGTCCCCGACCCTCCAGGCACCAGCCCTCCCTCGTCCAGCCAGGTCCTACCAGGTCCCGACCCAGACCCCGGGCCTTACCGCGGCCAGCGCCTCCACCTGGTGCAGCAAGATGGGCTTATTGCAGAAGTCCACCAGGGGCTTCGGGATGCTCAGCGTCAGCGGCCGGAGCCGCGTCCCGTATCCGCCCACCAAGATCAGCGCCTTCATCGCGCCTGCGGGCGGCCGGGGAGGGAGTTCCCGTCTCCAAGGCGTCCGCGGCCCGCCTGGCCGGGCCCTGCCACACACTCACGCCGGCGAGCCCGTCCCCAACCCCTTCCCCTGCCGGACTGCCCCGCCCTGGCTCTACCTTGTCCGTGGACTCCGCCTGGAAGCCGAAACCCGGGCCGCCACAGCGGGCCGCGACGCGGGAGAGAGGGCGGCGGGCCCGGAACTCGGGCCTGACCCGGTGAACAGCGACGCGATTCCGTGCGGGCCAATCCACAGCCGAGTACGTGGCACGGCCGCCGACGTCGGAACGCCGGGGTGCGGCGCCTCGGCAGACGTAGCCAATGAGAGCCCGAGCGCGCCCGGCTGTCATGGTGACCGGGCCCGGCGCCCGCGGGTCAGCTGGTCATTGGCGGATCCAAAGGCGGAACTGGCGCCAAGGGCGGAGCTCCTCCCGCGCTCCTCCCAGGGCAGGCGGCCCCAGGGCCGCTTCCGCCGCGCCCCTCCCTGCAAGCTGGCCCGGCAGCAGCGGGCCGAGGGCGGAGGGACGCGAGGAGGGTCGGGGCGCCAGGCCTCTCCCGGAAACCCTGGGATTTTCATGAAGACGCTGACACGCCTGTTTCGAGCGGCTTTATTTTGACATACACGACCTCGGACACAAGCGGGGCGGGCAGCGCTAGGTGTGTGCAGAAAGAGGCGGACTCGGGCCGAGCACCCCGCCCTTCCCCGCACGCAAGGTCCAATCTGGAGAAAACGGTGACTGCGCGGAGACGTGGCTGGAGCCACGTGTAGTTTCCGGGGGCGCAGCCTCCAGCGTTGTGGACGGGCTTAGGCAGCTTCCAGGAAAATGGAGCAGAGAGCGAGTCCCAGAGGCAAGACCTTACAGTTCCCCCAAAAGCAAAGGAACCAGGCCCCTCCGACGGGGTCTCCTTTTTTTTTTTCCTCATTAAAACATGTTTTAAGTCGGCACAAACAAAACCAAATTGAACAGCTTTAAAGTTCAAAGCTCTCTGCAGCTAAGGAACGTGCACGTGGCCAAATGTGAGCAGCTGAACTGCGGCTACTGAACCAGCCCAGGCCTGGGCCCCTTAAGGGGAATCCCCAGGCCTACTGCACAGGCCCCAATGTGAGGGAGGGGTGGGTGGGGGTCCCTGGCAAGTAGCTATGCTGGTCCCCTTTCTCTTGAAGCACCACCCACCCCACCCACCCCTGCAGGGGGCTGGTGTCCACATGGCCCAGGGAAGCACTATATAGAGGGGTCATTTAAACACCCCAACCAGTGATCCCGCGTTGCATTTGGTCCCATGTTGGGGCGAGGAAGGCAGGACCTGGCAGGGAGGGTTCTCCCGCGTAGAGCAGGAGGAAAGAGCAGCGGCGGTCAGTGCACACACACACACGCAAATGCCCACTGCCCACCGGATGACAGGGCTCCATCTCCAAATGTTAGACTGCTGAAAAGAGGGGCCCTGCCCTGGCAAACAAGCAGCAAATCCCAGGTCAAACTGCTCTTTTCAGTGCCAGGAAAACACTGGATGTAAGTGGGTACAGCCTGTCTCACTAGGAAGAGAAACAGAATGGGGCACCATCCGCTCCAGAACACAGTAACTGGGGAGGCACAGCACATCCCCACGCTAGAGAGGTTCAATCAAGGGGGTCTCTAGTGGCCCTAGACCCTTCCTTTTGGCCTCTGCCCTGACAGAAAATGACTGCCCACGCTAAGGAAGAGCTACTGCCCCTACGGCGGAAGCCACGGAAGGTACAGGAGAAAACGGTCATCGCTGACCAAAAAGAGGCAAGCTGCCCCTCCCAGCCCCAAGGAATGGGAACCTGCACACCAATGGAACCAGGGTCTGAGGACCAAAAAAGAGGATCCATCAAGGCGCCTTTTTAAGATGTATGAGGCTGCATCTCTAAGGACCAGGAGACCAGTCCAATAGTTACTAAGGCCCCTCACAAACACAGGCTGGCAGGCTTGCCTTTAATGTCCAAAGAGGACATGCCAAAAGAGATAATGACAGTGGCCCTAGGCTCGGAGGTAAGGGCACTAACCGTGGCACTGGCTAAAAGAGTGCCGTCTCACCTCCTGGGCACATGTACTAAGGTGGCAGGTCTCTGTGCCACTAAGAGCTGGCAACAAAAATTACTAAAACCACAGGAAAGGAAAGGGTCACCCCTTGGGCCTTCACCATACCACTGTGTGCTGAGGGGGGGCACAGTGGGCTCACAGAGCGGGCCAGCAGGAAAACACCTCCTACTATTCATTTTGCTACCATTTATAAAAAGGTAGCACTTGCTGAGAAAGGGCACAGGGGCAAAAGCTAAGAAATGGAAAAAGAATATTTTGCTGAGGAAAGCATGAAGGAAATCAGTTTTTACTCATGAGCAAGGCCACGCCCCAGAAGGATCCCAAGAGAAAGGGGTTGGCAGAGAGACAAATGAACAGACTGACGAACCCCAGAACTGATCAGACAAAACTCTCACTAGCAAAATCTAGGCACCTGCATCAAGGGTCCAGGTGATGTCCCTGTGAGCAGACAAACAACTTTCTTCCTCACAAGCCAGGAGCTCCTCACACGGGCTGCTACCATGAGCTTGGCCTGGGGAAAGGAGAGACCCTGAGCGGACCAAAGCCCTTAAGCCCTGGGAGGAGCAGCCAGTCCAGAGGCAGCACAGCTGCCCAAGCTAGAGGAGGAAGAGGACTCCTCCCCACAGCAAAAGAACTGCAAATACTATCTGGGCCAGAGCTGCCAGAGGCCCTGAGGCCTGCTGGGAAATCTACTCTCCTCAGCAAACAGAGCAGAGCCTCCTTCTATTTGGGGTAAAAGGGGGTGGCCTCCTTGGACAAGGGGACTTGGTGAGAAGGCTGGCTGGGGTATGCAGGCAGGAAGAGGAGCAGGTTCAAGTGCCAAAAAGTTCCTAGGGAACCCAGGGCCTACCCTCTGCCATAATGTGGCTTCAGCCCAGCCTCATGAATCTAGCCTAGGCCAGGGTGAGAAACAAGGGTGGATCCAGCTGCAGACAGTTGGCCCCACAGTGCCTTGGACATCTTTTAAAGAGCTGGCTGACACCCACCAAAACAAGACTCAAAGGTCCCCCAAAAGATGGGCACCCAATCCCCTTGACTTCCGAGGAGCAAGGGATGAGTGGGAAATGGAGGTGTCCTGCATCAGTCAGGTTTCACCCCACAACCAACAGGGCCCTGCATCACAGACCCCCAAAGACCTAGGCAAGAGAAACCAATGTCCAAGGGCAGTGTCCTGCTGCCAAGCCCGCCAGGGACACCTCACACCTCTTCCTTCCTAAGTCAGCCCGGACACAGCAGTCAGAGCCACAGCGCGAAGGAGCCTGGCTGAGAGGATGTGTGTTCTGCCCTCCTGCACTTTATATATATGGATTCCAGGCTACAGCTAAAAACATTTCTTTTAGTTTACACCAAAGAGAAATATAACCCTTTAAAAGCAAGTCTGTGTGTCCTCACGGTGAGTTCAGAGCAATGGTCCCTGCCTGCGGGTGGAGAGGAAGGAGTTCTGAGGGTCCAGAGCTGGGCCTACTGGTTCTCGTCCCGCATCTGTTCCATGATGCTGATGAGGTTTTCGAGGCCAAACACGTAGCCTCTGTCTGGCCCGTCATGCACAGTGGGGTCATCCCGGAAACCCTTGAACGTGCTGTGTGCAAAGTCAATCATGCGGACATCCACTTTGGGTAGAGAGGAGGATCCCGCCTCAGGGCTGGTGCTGCTGGGGCTGCTGCTGGGGCCACTGGGTGAAGCCACCTCAGGGAGCCCTGTGTCCAGGTGCTTGAAACGCAGCTCAGACCGGCGGTCCAGGTAGGACTCAGGCCTGCATTCCTTGCCATCATAAATGACAAGCAGGGAACTGGAGTAGAAGCGGTAGGAGGCCTGCCGCTCCAGCACAGCTTTTAGGCCCCGCAGTTTGCCCAGGATGGGCTCAAAAAGGTCACGCCGCAGGTCCAGGCCGTTATGCAGGTACTGATAGAGGGCGTTGCGGAAGCCTTCGATAGAGAGCCCACGGCCATAGTACTTGTTCCTGCAGAGGTAATGCCCTGTGTCCAGCTGGTACACCTGAAACCCCAGGAGACAGACAGTGAGTACCAGAGAGGCCAGATACCTCACAGTGCCCTGGGCAAGCACTGTCTGGGAAGCACTTTGGACCAACCTGAGCCTTTCTGCCCACCCTTGCACACCTGGATTGGGCAGGCGAGGTTCACCTGTTTTCCTGCCGTAAAGCCAGGAGAGAGTGGAGGCCAGGCCTACGGGTTCTCTGCCATCACCTTTGGACCCCTCCTTCAAGTTGCCCTGGGACCCAGCTGGACTCAAACTAGGAACATCTTGCTGACAGACAAGAGTCTTACTTGCCCCATTGTCAAAGCAACAGGCTCCCACAGTGGCTCTGCGCCTAGAGACCAGATCAGGGTCAACAGGTAAAGACAAGAGGGCTGCAGGAACATACCTACAAAGACATATTCAGCACCCTGTAGGGAACTCACCCTCTTGGAGGAGATTCTGGACCAACGCGGGCCAGGAGGACACCTGGCACGGGTAGCAGACAGGTACATGTGCAACCCAAAATATGCAAGCAGCAGCACTGAGGCACTCACCAGGGGTGACTCACCTGCATGCCACAGACCCTGACACCCAGTGTAGCGGACGTACTCTGCTCACACTTCCTCATCTGCCGGGCCGCCTTCTCAGCTGATGCGTCATCACCGTGCTGCCGGGTGCCCATCTTCAGGTCCAGCACACAGGGGTACTTAAAGTGGTGCACCACGTTCTCAAGCAGGAGGAACTCTGGACCATGGTCAAGGAGAATGGGAGTCGCATTTACCATCAAGCCCAACCGGGAAAGTACTACCTTTTTTCTACAAAAGGGGGTGATCTCATTGAATGTAATCCAATATATTCACAAACTTTTAAGTGGATTTCACCCCAGACTTATTTAAAAAAAAAATTTAACAAGGTAAAGTATATATAATGTAAAATGTATCACTTTTTAAAAAAGATTTATTTATTTATGCATACAAGAACTGGGGTATAAGCCAGAGGTGTGGGAGGTGAGAGGATTCACCAGAGAGAGCGGGGAGCAGAACAGGCAGATCTACTGAAATACACTGCTGAGGGGAGCAGCGGGTGAGACAGGAGAGGTCTGCTGCGCCATGTGGGTTTCTCCCTGGCCGGCCGGGGATCAAACTCGTGCTGCAGACAGCTTCATAGTTTGTGTTTT